GACATATGGTAAGCTTCATACGTTTAAGCCTTAGGTCTGACAACTATTTGCATACTACAATTAGAAGCTTTGTAACAATTGACATATGGTAAGCTTCATACGTTTAAGCTTCTTGTATGTCAGTGTTCAATGAACTTGTCCAACGGACAAGCACGTGTGTATCCACTAGGTGACCAACACTCGTAGCACGAGACCATGCTAAACTTTATGTGATGCACATCAACCTTTTTGGATAGTCAATGTCCAGTTGATAGGAGCATATTTATGCGACTTTGTTATCTTATTTCTTTGCATTTACTTAGTTAATTTCCATTTATTTTGGTAATTTAAGTTATTTTCATATTATTGTAGGTCCAGTTGGTAAAGATGACAATAAATAGCTAAATGGAGCAATTTGGAGCAGTTTTGGACTATGATTGGATAGCATGCGTGGATAGCATATGGGGTGGACTTTTTTGGTGTTTAAATGGTGTTAGACATGTGCTAAACTCTGGAGAAATTAAAGTTGAGGCTTCGAAGACTAGGAATTACACAAGAAAGATGAATCCTAGTTGGACAGGAACATTATCTTATCCTATCTTATCCAACATTATCTTATCATATCTCTAGCTGCAAAGAGGAATCCTAATCACATTTCAACATTTTCTACCTGATTCTTAGAGTTCTAAAATAATTTAAAACATCAAAACCCTTTCCTCTTTGGATTTAGCCGTCCCTCTATATATATATGAAATTCCTGCAGCGATTTAGGGTGTGTTGGAATTTTCAAAGTTCTTTCTTTCTTTGTTTCAAGTTTAAATGTTTATTTTAGATTGCTTTTAAGTTATGATGAACATGTGTAACTAAGTTTCTTTTTAGTTAGAGGAGAATTCGAAGCCATGATCATATGTTTTACATAAATTGATAACATCCAGTTATTGTTTAATAAAACATGAATGCGATTTACTTATCTGCTTTATAGAGAACTTATTCTTGTACGTTTATTAAGGATGCATACTTAGTTTGCATGCAAGGATTTGATGCTAGAATATAAGGGAATTTTACCTAATTGTTATGAACTTATATTTGTAAGTAGTAAATGTCACTAGTCATGATTGAGTTAAGTAAATTCTTAGCATAATTATCATGCTTTTCATTGTTACGAATGCTTTGTCAAGGCTTATGATTTTCACAAAACGTAATGATCTTTGAGATGTATCTTTATCATGCCTTTCATATTTAGGGAACTTGAGAAGAATAATTTGGTTGCGTCTCTGAGTCCAATTCAATGAATTTAGGAAAATATGAGGGTTAATTAGTGCTACTCATGATTAATTTGGGGCATTGTCATTCATGGTTTATAGAAAGAATAATTGGAAATCGATTTGTATGCATATGATTCATGTGTGCCTTTAGCTATCATTTCATCCATATTTCATTCACAACTTAATTTACTTGCTGCCATTTACTTTTGTTTTAATTAAATTTGTCCAAAATTCCCCCAGTAATTGTTTTAATGTTAGTTTAACTTATTTGTTAGTTTTATAAGTTTAATTTGTGTTGATTAGCATTCCTTCTAATCCCCAGAATAGAACAATCCCTACTTACTTGTTCTACAATTGCATAATTTATAGGGTTTAATTTGTGTGTTAGTTTCTACCACATCATCAGTTGACTTTCCAAATGGCTAGGAACTTCATTTAAGGACTAGGTGACTATAGAATACAAGTTTCTTTGCTATAACATCGTTTAGGACATTACTTCCATACCGTAAAATCCTATAGACTCATTCACAATATATTTCTTTAATATAAAGCCAAGTTCATGAATGAATAAATCCTGCCCATTTATTTATTAATTAATATAGGGTTGGTTACCCAATATTAGGGCACAACTCTAACAGGAAGACCTGCACCTAACCAACATGCATGAATGATAAGTTCACAAAGACTAAACCTTACAAGCCAGACTCAACATCATCAAGACACACAAGATAAATATTGTACCATCAACTAAAGTCCCTGCAAAGACAAACAACAAAAACAAGTGACTATGAATTCCTTTAAACCAGCAAACACCGTCACCTAATAATCTTGCAATAATTGTAAAAAAATTATGCTATGTGTACCTCTAGCAAACGTCAAGCTTCCTCCTCATAGTTGTTTGCCTAACGCACCAACTACATAACCACGACCTCATATTTTAACAACAATCGTCGCTCTAAGATCAATTGTTAAACAATAAGTCTTAACCGCTACAAAAGGCTATTCACATTAAAAGGAGTGAGCGATTACTACAAAAAACATGAAGATGAAGAGAAGAAATAGATCAAGAAAGATAATTTCCAACCTTACTACTGACCTTAATCTTTGGATTTAGGGCTGGTTTGGTATTAATGTGCTTTGAAAAATAAAAAAAAACTGTTTCTGCTGTGTTGTGCTGTGAGAATAAACAGTTGTGAAATAAAGCAGCAAAGTATTTGGTAAACTTTTTTGTAAAAGTGCTTATGGAAAAAAAAAGTAGTATGATAATATTTGGTAAACTTTTATGTAAAACAACTGTAACTGTGTGAAATAACAAAAAAGGTATAATACTAAATGTGCTATTAATTTAATTTTCTTAAAAAATAAAGGTGAATTACTAAATATACTTTATTTTTAAAAGAAAAATATTTATAAACTTTATCTTAAATATTAATTAGTATGACAAACTTCAATTGAAATATTTTATACTGAATAACTAGGATTCATTAGTACAATATTGTTAATATACTTGAAAGTAGTTTAATTAGATGCATTCATCGAACTTGCTGTTATTCTATTTCTTAATGCTTCTATCTCATGTGATCCTTCAACTTGATAATTTTGGTATTCTTCATCAAACCAGTCTATTACACCTTAATGCAGTACTTCGATTTGGCAATGCAATCACGCAAAATCGTGCAACCGAAATATATCTATGACAGATAAAAAAGGGTCGGGAAGAAAAAGGAGAAAGAAATGGACGCAGAAAAGGTAGTGAAAATTTAATATCCCGAAAACCAGCAGACATTTAAACGAAAATGATCCATTTCAGAATCATAACAAAGTATACATGATAGTGAATTTAATATCCAGAAAACCAACAAAAACATCCTAAAGACAAGAAAGTGAAGAACTTAAACGATGGCATTGGCAGTGTTGGAAATGTGCCCTAAAACCAATCATATGATGATACTTTACGGACATTTCACATGTTAAACTAATCTAGTTTAATATCAAGGGCAAAGATTATTGTTTGAGCCGTCTCATATAAATGTTATACGCTTAAACGATAAGTCCAAGGAATATGTGATTGGGAGAATGCGATCTAAAGAAGTTAGATTCATGAGACCATTCTTTCGTAGACACTTCCTAAACGTTCCTGATCATAGGATTGCCAATTGGGCATTGACAGTCCGTTAAGATCAGTACGTGTTGTGTCTTCTCTCAGGGAGAGTGACTAGTCTCGAGTCATTGGTGTGTGTGACACCAAGACAAGTACGTAGGTGCTCAATAAGGAATGAGTTCACTGAACACGATCAACGAAGAGTTCTCATACTCATGTCACATGAGAACTCATGGTTGGGATAATGCAAAGTAGTCATTTGACTTGAGGCATCATAGTTGTCTTGTAGTTAAGTCCTTGATCTTTGATTATGTCAAAGTCACTCAATTCGAGGGTGTCCACGACATCGTCGGGGTTAAGCCACTTAGCCATGGAGGCAAGTGAATGCGCAACAAGGGATCTCTAACCTTCAAACCGTTTGGGGGAGAATACTCTATGATATGATTAAAAATCTCTGGCCAGAGTATGAATGAGATTTAGGAAGTCGTTCCAAATCACATTCAAGGTAATCATATAAGCACATGAATCACATTGGATAGTAGACATGAATAAACTATCAAACCAAACAATGTGGTTAAGAGTATTGTATTAGAGAAATACCGTATTGCATTTGTAATCCTAAACTTAATAGGTTCTCCACCTCTTCTAATTAGCTTGGGTAACCATGATATGCTGCTAGGTGTCACTCATGATTTGTGGAAGCCCTAAACGTGTATAATCACTAAAGGGAGAATTGAAAGTAAGTTTCAATTCACAATCGATTTGAAATGGTTTTAATCGCCCACTGCCTCGCTAAAAGGAACCTAATGGATCGTACACCGTGTAAGGTGGAGATTGAAGAAACAATGGAGATGAGTAAGAATAATTAAATGGTTTAATTATTTATGGCAAGGATTAATTAATATGTTAATTAATCAAACGAATAAGTTCGTTAAAGACCTCGGGATAGTTTTGGGCCTCAAGGCCCAATGGGCTTCGAACGTCAAGCCCATTGACTTAAGTTGTATGACAACTTAATGACAAATAATTCACAAAGGCCTTAAAAGCCCAACGAAACCCTATGGCCGGCCATTTTGTTAAAGGAGTGGGTTTTGGACTTAATTACAAGTTTGCCACTCCAATGAATTAAGGTATAACTATGACTTTATAGCCAAAATTCATTTAGGGTTTTCTTTTGGGGAAAGGATGAGAACATAAGCTCTCCTTTCTCTCTAAAGTGGCCGGCCTCCTTGGAGGATTTAGCTAGCAATCCTACTACTCCAAGGTCACTCATTTCTTCTCCAATCTAACGTTGGTGAAGAGACTTAGAGGTTCTCAATTTTGGGAACTTGGAGAACCATTTCATCCATCCAAATCCATAGATCTAAGATGCAAGGAATGAAGACCCTCTTTTTGGGTGATTAGCCTTTGCTTATGCAAAATAATTTCTCAACTAACAAATGTTGTTTTAAGTTGAGTCAAGGTTCACCAATCTACTAGGCTTTGAATTTCATGGTTAATGTTTTGTTTTTTGAGTGCATGCAAGCATGATTCCGCCTTTTAATTGTTAATTGCATGCTATAGATGTTGCTCAAATGAACATGTTTTTCACAATATTTCCTTCAGACAGCACTTGCAAGTCTAGCCCATAGATTTTCACAATCCTTTCTAATAGGTCAGATGATTGCAGACCCTACAACAATACCAAAAAAATATGAGTTAGTATTCAGTACAATGAGTGCAAGTGAAATGAAGAACATTATCAAGATGATGGTCCTACAACGTTAAAAATTAACAAAAGTAATGTCAGATGACGTAATTGCATTACAGGCAGACAAGTAATTTCAACGAAGATGTTATAGAATCTCAACACACCTTTCATTTCACCCTTCAAAATCACAATAACACCAGCATTATCTGCATCACAAGAACAATCATGGTCAGAAACCTTGAGAAGCAGAACCATTTCATCACCATAAGAGCAGATCTTAAACTAAAAGCACTCCGAGATACTTCAAATTTCAAAAAATGAGCTAAACTAATACTGCAACACATAATATTTACAACCTTTTTCCTAAATTCTCTACATTGTCAGAACAAAAAATGTTCAGCTTAATGACAAATTAATACGGAAAAAAAAACACCGTATGTTAACAAAAAGTATATAATTAATCAGAGTGACCATCCTAAACAACCATTCAAATTCGAAAATCCCCAATTGCCCACAACTAGTCCCCAAACAATATTAAAAAACAAGGTGATGTAGGAGAACCTAGAATTACAAAGTCCAACTAATAAAATCAAACTAACTCTAGAACCTGACATCCCGAAAACTTCCACATTTGCTACAAGCATTGATTTCAATCTAACTCAAAACCAATCAAACACTTTTGCTTCCTCTAAACATGTTCATATCATCACAAAGGAACATAATATATTCAATAAAAAACACAATTAACAACCTTCAAATTACACGAAAGCACCATCCTTTCGGGGGTTTTTTTTTCTCTAAACATATTCATATCAAGAACATAATTTATCCAATATAAACACAATTAACTACCTTCAAAGTACATGAAAACACCGTCCTTTCGGCCCCACGGCTTGAGCTGGCGGACAATGATGGCTGGCAAGACCTTCTTTCGAAGGTCGGGCTTGCCCTTCTTGACAGTAGCCATGACCATGTTGCCAACACACGCAGAAGGAAGGTGGTTAAAGCGACCCTTGATTCCCTTCACTGAGATGATGTAAAGGTTCTTGGCACTGGTGTTGTCGGTGTAGTTCACAGTGGCGGCCACCGACAGACCTAGTGACATCCAAAACTTGTTTTCGGCAAACCCTCCACGCCCTGCAATTTAAACGAATTGAAAATTAAACAAATTAATTAACTTATAACATGGAATAGAAAAATCCATCAAGTTCTGATTGGTTGCTGAGAAAATTTTGGATCAGAAAGCAAGAAAGTTTTAATCTTTGAAAGACCCAGAAATACTAAAATGAAAGAGAGAGAGAGAGAGAGAGAGAGAGAGAGAGAGAGAAACCTCGTTTGAACATAGCTGCACTAGAGAGGCTTCAGATCTCAAGAATGAGAAGTGTGCTGTGAGATTGCCGCAATTAGGGAGATGTATTGTTCATGAAGAAAAGTTGTCCCTTTTAACTCTACAATTTTAAAGGAATTAGAAGTGATATCTATTGTTCATGAGTAACCTTCAACTCGGACAAAATAATAAAGTTGTCATCTATTTCTTTTTTAAAATGCCATAATATAGTGAATATTCATGCCAAATTCTCCCTAACAAGTAACAAATGAGGCCTTTTAGAGTTGCAATTCACTCATTAAAAAAGTAATCACACATTCTTCTTATCGTAAAAGTAAATGTAGACATGATCACTTCTTTAAAGATGTTCTCATCTCATCAGTACTATTATGTTCTTACGAGTAATGCTAAAAACACAATCCTCTACGTACCTAATAATCATATATAACAATAAAAATGTAAAATATCAGTGTCCAACCCTCCACCCCCAACCACATTCACCAAATTGTTATGAATCTTATGATGTGAGACTGTATTATATTAACCAACCTCTAGCATTCTATGTGTTTGGACTATTTAAAGGGGATTTTCTTGAGTGGTCCAGAGCATTCATATTTTAAATGTTTTAAGTGTTATATCTTTGTTTAATAATATAAAAATCAAGATCCAATGGTTAAAACATTTAAAGTGTCGTTACTCTGGAGCACTCAATGGCATCATCCTACCATCTTTTGTGACTGATTCTAATCCTAACCTGAACCTTTCTTGGAAAAGTTGCCTAAGGTAAGCCATGCTAACCCCTTACGTTAATTTTATTTGCCATCACTAGCCTTCACTCTACTGGACTGAACTAAGGGTTAATGTAGTCCTGCATTTGTTACCCATATGGACTAGCTTTAATATTATTAGTGACTTGCCTTGACTAAAGACCTCGCTAGATGATCTTAGCTTAAGCCTTTAAAAAACATAGGACTGCTAATGTCACACCCCGATCTCGAGATACGTCCAGTATCGACATGTGACATCAGAAAGTACCTGTGTATCTATTTAACTATTATGCTTCACTTCTGAGGCATGACCAAAATAAACCAATGGTTTAACAATGCAATAACCATTTCTTTTATTTGATGGCTACATTTAACCTCTGTGTTAGATTGCCTATATATCCTAAGATGAGATGAAGCCATTTATAGTTCACCCTTTTTTCAAACTCCAACATTTCTCAAGGCATTAGCTGACAAGAAACATAGAATTCCCAACAACTCCCAACATGCGTGATATACCAATATGTTATTTCATCATTCACATACACGTTTTCCATCAACAAAGCCACAATCAACAACATATAGCATTTCCATAAGCCCACATTAGACAACATTAATCTTTAACTACATTGATCAACCAATCAAATAAAAAATCATTCATAAAACCATACTTTATAAACCATAAATAAAAGAGCTAGAAATCTTGAAGTAATCACACAGACAACCATTGTTTTTTCTAAATCGGTTCACAAAGATTCTCAAATCTTTTGTTCACAATCATGCTGAAAACTAGGGGCAAGAGTGACACAGTTCGACGAATGCCTATAATTCCTATGTTTCCATATTTGACTGACTTAAAATTACTGTAAAGATTTCTAGGGATGTAGTTCTAGACCAACCCAATAGAATCAAATGGAGATAGGGATTCCAGACCATTCAATGGAATCTAAACGAAGTAGGGTACCAGACCATTCAACGAAACTTCAACAAGACACAATTTCGGACCACTCAATGAAATTGACACGGGAAGGGATTTCGGACCACTCAAAAGAATTCAAACAAAACACAATTCTGGACTACTTAATGAAATCAAATAGGGAGGGGGATTCCAGACTACTCAACGAAATCAAACGAACATAGGGTTCTGGACCACTTAATGGAACCAAATAGGGAAAAGGAAACCATTCAACGAAATTTATCTCTAGAATGCGTTTGGTCCCAATACGGATTAACCAAGCATGACCATACGCAACCATCCGATAGTGTGGTCCCCCAATGCAGACTAACCAAGCAGAACCACATATGGACATAATGTGACCAGGTAGGTAGTGACCCCTCACTGCGGATTAACTAGGTTAAGGCCACCCCTAAAATGCATATATTCCCACAATGTTGATTAAAGTAGGACCATGTGCAAGCATCAAGTAGTGTGGATCCCCAATATGGATACCAGACGGGACCACCTATGAAAGTAATGTAACTAGGTAAACAGTGACCCCTTAATGCGAATTAACCAAGTGGAGTCATCTTTAGAGTGCTTATGGTCACAAAAGTTAACCATTGGTTAATGTGGTTAACAGTAGGGTCCATAACCCTACACAATCTAATTCAAAAGATCCGCATATTGGATTTCAATCCATAAATTCTTATGGTCCTCAAATAATACGCATAACATACTATAATTTTGTGACAATCCAACAATCGGATCTTCATTTACTACAGAGGCCACGCGGTAAACCTTTACGAAAATAGGGTTAAACAGTCAAATCTCGTCAAACGGATGTCAAAACTAGATTCAGAATATAGAAATTAGCCTAAGTAGACAACGTGGGTCATCAAGCCTACAAGTGGTAGTTGACAGTCTCGACTCACTAGTTTTTTAGACTAACGTCATTATGGCTCAAATTATACCAGATTATAGATCATGAAGATGCAAATAAGATTTATACATGTGTCGGAACGTGAAGATGGCTGGAGGATGGCGAAATTCGTTAAAAAGTCTCGAATGGCTAGAACTTTTGGGATGAGATGTTAAATGGTAGTGCTGATGGACGGAATCTTGAACAGTAACGGTGTAATCGTCAGAATTTTGAACTTTCAAGCCTCCGATCCGTCATGTACGTCGATCAACCGAGGTGAACCTCAAGTGATTATTGATTTAGATGTTGAGAGAAGTCGCGCCCAAGTGGTGGCGTTGACTTCAACAACTAGAAAATGTCAAACTTGGCATCGAAAAAGTTGCCAAGTAACCGGGTCTTGTCCTTCACTCGGTTCACCAAGTTAGGACTTTCATCATAGTTAACATTCCAAAAATATTTGATTCCCCCAATGGATTAGGTTGGGTTGCTATATATAGAAAGCGGGAGATTACTATTTTGCTCATGCCTTTGGAAGCTCGTAATTCATTTGTTACAATTTTGTTTCGCGAATGGTTTTTGCCTACGCTATCGTAGGATCGAACTTAATCTAGAATACTAAAAGTGACCCTAAAAGGTCTATTGATTTTTTTAATGACTAATTAGAAAAAATCAAACTTTACAACTAAGTAATCAAAACTCCAAGTTAAAGGAAAATATATCAATTTCTCAAAAACGAATATAATTTATTGAATACTTGAATCGGTGGATGGGATTTCACAGCTAAGACCTTCACTTTGTCTACTTTGTATGCTTTTCTCTCTGTCTCTTGCTCTCTCTCTCCCTTGCTCTATCTATTTGCATCAACAGCCTCACCCACCGCCTAAATCTCAAAATCTGTTTACTACTCACTCATGGGTCGGCTCGATCTGAGGCTTAGATTGATGTAGGCGCCACCCCACACCTCTTCTCCCATAATTTTAGCCTTAACATGGGTTATGGCTTAGAGGAATTTGTTGCATATAATGCAGCTGTGAATTGCCTCAAGATTGGTAGAAAATTTTCTAGAGTTCTTGTCATAGGCAGAGATTATCACAAGGTCAAATTTCTAGGCCATTGGAAAATTAAGCATGTGGTACAATTAGGCTTCCCTTGTGAGGTCAATATTAATCATGCTGCACATTTTCCAGAGATTAGGCATGTAATATATTTAGGATGCGTTTGTTTAGCTTCCTTAACTTTCACTGGATTAGACTAGATTAGACTGGACTATAGTGTAATGTTTGTTAGATATTGGGATTATGTTTAATGAGACTAAAGGGGACTCGTGTGGACTAATAGGCTCGCTAGAAGTTCTTAGCAAGAGCCCTCGAAAAGGAGGAGACTAGCTAAAACTGTATTCCTTCTCTACTATCTTCTGTCTCTTCCTCCTCCAACAAGACCCATATAATTGCACCACCTCCGACCGTTGTGGGCATAGATCGCCGCTGATGATCTCCATTCAAACCCGAATCACAAGATCTTTGTGAACCCAATGGTGGGTAAGGATAAAATATTAATAGAGATATAGATAAATTAATATAATATTATTAGAATTTATTAATTATCTTGCTTTTTAATCCGACACTGCACCAAATGTTTCTCTAAGTTAGTCTAGCTTAGTCTATTCTAAGGCAATCCAACTTAGTCATTAAAGCTAGTCTAGTCTAAGATAGTCCGATACAATAAACGCACCCTTAAGTTATGGTGGTTGATAGCAAAGAGAAAACAAAATTGGAGGTGGGCTCCAAAGATCTTGTAGGTTTGAACGAGACAAAAGGTTTAAACGAGGATGAGCTTTTGTGGAAGGTGATGAGAGGGGTTGTCGCTAACTAGTATGTCGACAAGAGCAATTCTAGACAGTGTGAAGAAGAGAAAGAAAAGGAAAGGACATGTAGAGAGGGAAGAGAGAGTGAGTCGGACAAAAAAATGTGGATTAATATCAATACATGTTAATAAGATGACTTAAAAAAATGATAAAAAGTATTAAATTTAAAAAAAAATTTAGGTCGTGACTTAATTCGACAATGCATCTTACATTTCGTTATTTTTATAATATTTAATTTATGCCGCACTAATGCAGCTTAAGTCTCGAAACTAATTCAGTTCAAAATAATCAGAAACATTATTATCCCTGCAAACACATCACATCACCATTTGTTTTTTCCATCTCAAATGTCACATGTCTTATCAGCAATGAGAGTATAATGTGCCTGCATTCTCTCCATTTTACTGCATACGAATGCAAATACCATCGAAATATTTATTATTTATAAATATAAATATTACCATGATGTAGTAGGATGTATTCCATAGCATAGTGATCATGATGACGTAGCCTCCTAATAAATAAAATAATACAAAATGAAGCTGACAAATAAATAGAAAATTAGAAAGAAAAAAATATTGGTGTGTGTCTGGTGTGCAAGTAATAATATTTTTTCTTTTTTGGTATTAGCTTTGAAATCGAGACGCATGCAAAAAGCTAATGATGGTGTCCTCTGCTGCCTCGCCATGCCTTTTAGTATTTCAAAAGCTTTTCTCTTTTTATTTTTTTTATTTTTTTACTTTATTTTTATTTTTATTCTCTTTCTCTGATGGGCGCTTTATCTCTCACTCTGCAGGGACTGCACATCTTCCTCTAATATTTCCTTTTGACCCAATTGCCATCATGAATGATACTAACTAACTCCCTTTAATAGAAAGATCCTAAAAATTCTTCAGGACCTTTGATTCAAATTGTATCTTCCTAAAAAATAAAATAAAATAATCTATTAAGTTTCATTTAATCTTACAATCTAGTGACATTTTTTTTCATTTATAAATAAGAGGTCTTAAGTTCGATTTTTGCTAAAAAATAAATTTGAACCACATTATTGCTTGCCTATTGTGAGGTTTAACCTACTTCCTTATCTTCTTAACGTAGATAACATCGTTTGTTAAAAAAAAAACCACCCAATTTGATTCATACATGCAATAACACAATAATTTATTAACATTCCAATAAGACATTTTACAATTTTTTTATATTTAAAAAAATTACACGTATAAAAAGTGTAAAATGATATTTTAAAGTGTCAATGGCATTTTTCTGCTTGCGTGAGAATTTTGTTTGGTATTTCTAAATCCTATTTTATTGACACGAGTCATAATTAAGTTCATAACAGGTGAAACTAACAACGCTTAGCTCATTTTTGTTAGATAATCTGGTAAATGAGATTGTACCGAGGTTAATACTTTCAATTTTTGGAGAGATTTATTTTTTTATTTTTTTTTGGAATTTCTAAATCCCACTTCTTTACTTGACCTCAATTTGAATTTTTGTGATTTGGTAATAGAGATTGTAAATTCCAATGACATCACATAATCAAAAAGAAAAAAAATGATGATAATAACTGATGCTGCTTAATCTTTGTTTGTTACGAAGAATTCTCTGTACGCAACGCTTTTTTTTAGCAAAGATCACATAGCTAATGTGTAAAGAAATAATTAGAAGAGCGTTATATACATACGTAGTTTACATGAGTCACATATAATGACATTTAAATAAATCGAAAAACTAGTAGATTTTGCATTCAAATCGTAAGTTACTGCAAAAACAAGAAAAGCAAATCAAAACCAAAACGAGAAACAGGGAATACATTTGATCAGAATTACTGATGACATAATTATACGAGAAACATGGTATACATTTGTTGTTGGCAAGAACTCTCATTGTATACGTGGTTGCATCCGGTTGGCCCACTTTGATCTTAGTTTTTACTGTGGTTGGTTGGTCTGAAAATTCAAAGGCATTGAAGAAAAGTAATCATGCGAATTGAGTTCAAGGCCATTTTGGTCATTCAAGAAGCGTGAAAGAAAAACGAAAAGATATTCAAAGGTAAAGATTTTTTAGCTACCTACACTGTGGAGCGAGCAAAGAACACTCTCTCTCCTCTCTCCTCTCTCCTCTCTCACCCTCTCTCTCCTCATCTGAGCCGAAAGTGACGAGCCAATGAAAACCAACAATATCATCATCAGCAGCAGCAACAAAACTGTATGAATCCGAAAGCAGAAACAAGAAAAGCAAACCAAAAAACCAAAACGAGAAACAAAGCAAAACATACCGCTAGTGGTTTACCTTTTGTTCTTCTTCTTACTCCAGCTCCATACCCTCCAACTTTCAGCTCCCAAAACCCAAATCCCGCACGCAAACCATGCTGCTTCAACCCTTTAAGTCCTAGAAAATGTCTCGGGGGTTGGACATGGAAGCCATCGAGATCGGCGACACGGTGACGTTTCCTCTGGTTCTCAGGCCGTAGAACAGAGATCGTGTAAACACGGAATTCCTGCAATGAATCAGACAAGAACACGTGTACAAAATAATATTTGTATTAATGATTTAGGGGTTACAATCTCTTCTACAAATTTATCCTCTGATTCTATCTTTGAAACGTGTAGATGTAGTGTTGTTGATCCAAGGGCCGTCGAGGCTTGATCTTGGACGAACAGTTGATGAATGATGAACACCTTCTTCAAGGGCCGTCGGGGCTTGATCTTGAATGGGTGGAAGTTCTTCAAGGGGCGTTGGAGCTTGATCTTGAAGGAGGATTTCACGAAGAACAGATAGGGTTTTCTTGATCCTTCGGGATTTGCTTGAGAGCTTCAGAGTTTCGAGGCTTCAAAGCTTTGGTGTGGTGTGATTTCTCTTCCAATTTGGGAGTAGAGAAAGTGTATCTAAAATCCCCCCTTTGATTCTTTGATGGAGGAGCCTATTTATAGGCTTTGGGAATGAACCACCACCATCCATTTGTTTTGGTGGATGTTGTAGGTGAATTGGTGGATTGTTGTAGGTGAATTGGTGGATTGTTGTAGGTGAATTTGGGTGGAGGTTGTAGGTGAATTTGGATGGATTGTTGTTGTAGGTGAATTTGGGTGTATGTTGTAGGTGAATTTGGGTAGGTGAATTTGGGTGGAGGTTGTAGGTGAATTTGGATGGATTGTTGTAGGTGAATTTGGGTGTATGTTGTAGGTGAATTTGGGTAGGATTGTTGTAGGTGAATTTGGGTGTATGTTGTAGGTGAATTTGGGTGAAGGTTGTAGGTGAATTTGGATGGATTGTTGTAGGTGAATTTGGGTGTATGTTGTAGGTGAATTTGGGTGAAGGTTGTAGTTTTAATGCAATGGTCAACATTTATTTCACTAAAATTTCAATGTTTACAAATGTAATTTTAATGTGATGGCTAACATTTATTTCAACGAAATTTCAATGTCTACAAATGCCCCCACTTCAAGGCGCGTAGTATACATGTGCTTGCCACGTGTAGAAGATGCGTTTTGAAGTCCCTTAATGTAGATGTCGATCCAAGGGCCGTTGAGGCTTGATCTTGAACTGGTCTGGGAGTTTCTTCAAGTGCCGTTAAGGCTTGTTCTTGAATTTTGTTTGAAATTTCCTCAAAGGCCGTTGAGGCTTGATCTTGGATGAAATTGGACCACAAGGAGCCTCACGTAGTAGACGATCCTTGGCTTTGATAATGGATGAATCGGCACGTATTTTTGTTGTGCTTGTTGACTTTCCACAGCTTTGATCTTGAACTAGGCTGGAGGAGTTTTCTGGTTTCCTCCAACGGACTTTCCACAGACTTAATCTTGAACTGGATTTGACTCAAGGGTGGTGGACACTTGATCTTGAGTCAGGGTCGTTGAGGCTTGATTTCGAACTTAAACATGACCACGAGCAGTTTCAGGACATGCATGCTTTGAAAGATCAAGGAAGTTCGCAGCATTTTCATATGAACCCTGAGCAGTTTAGTCAACAGTATGATCTTCAAGATTGATGGGCTCTTCTTCCAGTTGGTGACTTGATCTTTAAGGATTATCGAGGCTTTGCTCTTCGGTGACGGTGCCAGCGAAGGGTTGTTAAAGCTTCTCGAGCCTTTTGGTTAGAGCAACGCTGTCCAGCTTGGATCTTTACTTGAACTCATCCGTCTGGATTGTGTGGTTATGCAGGGAAGGGCTTCATGCTTCATGATTTATTCCAGCTCGTTGTATTGCATTCTTCTCTGCTTGTTTCTTTTGCATAGCTGAAGCGGTGTGCAACCTTTTGCCTTTAAATGGTTCTTCGGAGCATAATCTCTCAGCGACTCACCCATGCTTGGCAGCTTCAGTGCAAAGCGCCGATGTTAACAGATCCACACTCCTGAAGCATTTGCTGAGGGGATTCGAGACATATCAGCAGTTGAAGATGAGCACTCGAGAGCAACGCTAGGTAAGTAACCAGGCAAAGGTTCCGGGCAATCAGTTCCTGGTCGGACATTTAATTTCAGGTTCCGACTGATTGCATCATTTCTCCTTGTTCAGCAGGCAAGAGCAAGGGCAAAGGAGAAGATGGGGGAAGAGCATGATATGAGATACCTTTGCTTTCGACCCCAGTGATATGAGATACTTTTGCTTTTGAAGAAGTAGCGGACGATCAACACATGCATTCGTCGTGCTTGTCTCCATATGCTTCGATGCATCATCTTCATCTGCATCATCTTCACCTGCATCATCAGGAGCTTGAGTGGAGGTTCCGACATATTGCTTTCTTTATCCTTGTCTTCGCAGTGAAGAGGGAGGACAAAGAAAAGGATAGGGAGAAAGCATGCTATGAGATACTCTTGCTCTCAACCCCAATGATATGAGATACCTTTACTCTGGTGTGGCTTGGTTGAAGAGGCGTTTCTAGGGAGGAAGAAAACTGAGTTTTTGGTTGCAGATGCCCTCGGCGAGGAAGAAAGGTCAGGCTGGATGTGTTTTCAGGGAGGAAGAAACTGAGTTTTTGGTTGCAGATGTCTTCGGCAAGGAAGAAAGGGGTCAGGCTGGATGCGTGTCTTGCTATGGGATGGAGGTCGAATTATATGGTGAGCTCTCAACATCAAGTGGCAGGGCGAGCGTGGCCTTGTCACCCACGCTTGTCGGCAGAAGTGTGGTAGTTGGCATAATGGACCTCACGCGTTTTCAACTTTGTCAGTGATATCTGACAAAGTTGCACGTGATAGCCGAAAGCTGAGATTGTGTCTGAAAAGTGTCGACGGACTTTACGCAGGAAAATCCGGGTTTTGAAATTCGGAGAGTGGTGTCTCTTCGATTTACGAACGAATGGTTGTGCTGCCTCTCATTTTTAAGAGGTGTCAATTGTATTCAACACGCAAAATTTGAAGATTGCCTGCCCGTGAAAAATTATCTCTGCTACTCTTTGCTTCATCCAACCTTTTTCTTTTAGTATTTTTTGAAAATGGCTTCCCCTTTTAACATTTGCTTAGATTTGAGTCTTAGCAGTGACACAGGTGCACCGCGTCAGGGTAATGTATGGCGCCCGTCTTTTTTTTTTTTCTTCTAATGGCCCTCTTACAGTTGAGGACTCTGTGATGAGGGATGCAACCACGGCTACGGTTGTAGCTAGAAACCTCATCACTCCTAAAGATAATAGGATACTTTCACGACGATCCGATGAGTTAGCTGTTCAAGAGTCCCAGGCTCTCAGTGTCCAGTGTGCGAACTCTGTTTCCAACATGGGCCAACGCTTACTTGCTCGAACTCGCCAGGTTGAATCATTGACAGCCGAGGTGGCGGCTCTTAGTCAAGAGATTAGGCAGCTCAAGCGTGAGAATAGAGAGTTGCATGTGCTTGCAAATAGTTATTCGACGAGCATGAAGAGGAAGCTTGATCAGCTGACGGACTCCGAAGGTCGAATTCAAAGTGACCATCGGAAGTTTGTGGATGTATTCCGGAGGCACTTTTTGCCTTCGTCATCTGGAATTCAACCAAGTATTGAGGCTCCGAATAAGCTATCTTCAGTGCCTCCCTCCTTTAGGGTTCCACCGAGTACCAAGGCTCCAAGTACTGAGGCTTCACACAAGTGACATTCGTGAAGGCTTTTTTTTTTTTTTTTTTTTTTTTTTTTTTTTTTCGTGTAATTTCTCGGAGATATTAATGGACATGCCTTATTTTATTCAGTATGTTGTGTTGAAACGCAAACAAAACGCATATCTGACTAAGATGCATTACTTCCCTATGCACCCACTTCCTTTTAGATGGTGACTAGTGCACCCATTTCTTTTTAGATGGTGACTGGAAGCATCATTTTGTCATCACCACCCATTTCCTTTTCCATTATTGACTTGCGAATAGTAATACACACTCGTGAGTGGCTTGACGATAGCACAGTTGGTTTTTTTTTTTTTTTTTTTTTTTTTTTTTTTTTTTTTTTTTTTTTTTTTTTTTTTTTTTTTTTTTTTTGCCTTCCTCACTGCATTGCGTTCTTCTCGCATGCGGACCATCTTTTCACTTGCACAATCACCTTATCACAATCTTCATTGGATGCGGATTGCTTTTTTACACAGTCACTGTATCGCATGCGGATCATTGTTTGCACAGTCACTGCACTACATGCAAACCGGTTTTTTTGCAGCCTGTTGAGACCAAATATATATATACACACGCATTCATACACACATGCATACATACATAGGGCATTGCGTAGTCTTTACATAGACACTGTACCAGCTTACTGCCCTGAATCTTACATGCACTCTCCTGTTTCTTTGCTGCGACGTGCTCTTCTCGTCTGCCGTGTGGTGAGCTCGGTGTTGGACAAAAAGTGGTGCAGCTTCTTCAACCCCATCACCCTGCAGTCGGTCACGTCTATGTTCATCGTGTTCATCCGAAGTCTTCACTTCGGCAGAGGAAAAGCTCACCATCATCAAAATTAGGGCAGCAACAACAAACTTCATTATCCTGCAAGCTTCAGGGAGAGTTGCATGAGAGTATGAGGACGGAAGGATGAAGGACTGCAGCATGGTTGCTAACAACCGCTCGGGCTTCCGTTTATCGTCGTCTCTCGACGGCGCTGCAAATGTTTCCACCAATGGAGAAGAGGAAGGAGGGCGCTGCCTTCACTCTGTGAGGTATGTTTTATTGCTGAGGACGGTTTGCCGCATATATAAATATATATATATTTTTTTTATTTTTTATATAGTGCTCTGTCAGGCTGAGGTTGCTAAACCGGCGAAGAACCTAGGAAGGCATCAAAAGTCTGCTCTGCTTGACTCGATCAGAGAAAGTGAATGCGAGTGCAAGTTCGAATGACAAGGCCGAGTTGCTTTCCCGTCTTCAACCGCTGCAGCTTCATTCTTGTTGCTACAGGTTCGTCTTTGTTGTGGCTTGGAGAGAAAGACGTCGCTGCAAAGGAGAGAGAGAGAAACACCACATCTGGATTCAGATTTTGTGCATCTGCAGGTCTTCCTTTCGTTTGTGGGTGACTGTGCAACTTTTATGAGAGGAAGAAGAAGAGTCAACGGAAAAGAAGGTGTTTGCGGACGAGGTCGCGTGGCTGACTTGGAGGTCCACTTGCTTCGGGTGTGCGCACCATGTGTTGCAGGTGGGGTTTTGCTGTGTAATGCCTTTTGGTCACAGTTTT